AAAGCATTAACATATTCTTTTCGTAATAGACAGTACAATTGATAAATTTAAAAAAGAAAATGCTCTTATAAAATTGTTAAGGAGGTGTTTTGGATCAATTTTAAAAAATAACATATTTTGTACCCTGTCACCACACATTCGACACCTCTTATATTGCTGACTTATACTTCAGGGAGATTGTCAAGTTACACAGGATTCCCATAAACATCACCTATGATAGAGATTTCAAATTTTTGTCACTTTTGACATTTATTAGTGAAGTTAGTCATCAAGTTCCAACTCAGTTCAACAGCTCAACCACAGACAGACAGTCAGACTGAAGTAGTGAACAAAATTTTTGGGAAACCTATTGAGATGTTTCATGGGAATGAATATCAAACAATGGGATTTCATTCTAGCACAAGTAGAATTAGCCTGTAACAAATCCACTAGTCAGAAAACGGGATACAGTCCACTCGAGATTGTCTGCTGCAGCAATCCGCTCACACCGCTTGATCTGGTCCCACACCTGCAGACATCAGAACTCAGCCAAGATGCTACAGAAAGGGTTCACGAAATCCAGCAAATACACGAAGAGGTTGGTAACAAGATTGCTAAATAAAATAGAAAATACCAAGAGCTAACAAACTTTCAGAATTTTGCAAAAACTCAACGACAATGCATACAAGATTGACTTACCAGGGGACTACAACATTTCAGTCACATTCAACATTGCAGATCTTACTCCGTACTTTGAGGATTTAGAAGTTCTGATTGTTGAGGTCAAAGCTCCCCCAACCCCAGAAGACTGATACGGAGCTCATAAGGGTCGGCTGGGCGCAGGTCTAGACTAGGTGGACTGGTCTGTCCTCTTGGAGGGAGCTCTTACCTTTCCTTTTTCTCCCTTTTTTTCCTATCTTCCTCTTTCTATTTTTCTTCCTAGGCTCTTTCCTAATTTAAATCCTTTCTTAAAAGCCTAAATCCTGATTTTATTCACCTTCACTTTCTTAAACCTTTCTTAAAAATTTGAGATCTTGATTTAATTTTTATTCTCCTTTATTAATTTAAATTTTTATTAAGATGGGTCAAGTTTCTTATAAATACGAGTTGATGTGTCTAGATTTAGGGGACTTGATTTTAAAATCTGATTTCAATTTTATCTGAGCATTTTCCTCCTAAGGGTTGTGTCTGATGATAAAAAAGGTGTTGCGGCTGTAACCACATCTGAGGTGGTGTTTTTCTTCACTGTTCATCCTTGTCACAACACCTTGCAAGTCACCAACTCCACTATTCAAATGCCTCTATAACAGTTTGCCACAGGCAGCACTGTTCCTTCATGAAGCCACACTACAACCGACCAGCCACGCATTAGCTTCCAAGTTCCTCCAATCGTTATAGCCTGCAG